CTTTTACTAACCAAGAAAGAATTTCCCAGACCTCTAATATTATGGGTTTAACCAAAATCATACGATAAGAGATGCCTTCTCACTCAATATAATGTCCTAAATAAAGTAAATAATAAAATATTTTCAAAATAACTTAATATGCATTCCCAAAGCTTTTTACAATTCAGTTATCTCTTCAATAAGCATGTTATCAGTTTGTTTGTTTCTTAAGCAGAAAAAATTTAAAGCCCTTAGAAGCCTAATGCTAAAGTTTGGTAAAATAATCCCTTCAATTTAACTTTCTTTTTTTAAGATTTTATTTATTTTTTTAGAGAGGAGAAGGGAAGGAGAAAGAGAGAGAAAAACATCAATGTATGGTTGCCTCTCACATGCCCCATGCCGGGGACCTGGGCTGCAACACAGGCATATGCCCTGATTAGGAATCAGGGCCTGCGACCTTTTGGTTCGTAGTCCAGTGCTCAGTCCATTGGGCTACACTAGCCAGGACTCAACTCAACTCTTGATCCATTAAGTCAATTCTTAAGAGAAAGTATAAATGCCCTAGGCCACCTCCAAACCTCTCATCTTACTCAAGATAATGAAAATTGACACTGTTATCATGCTGATTTCATTTCTGTAACCATTTTTTTTAATCTTCACCCAAAGACATTTTTCCCCCTGTTGCTTTTAGAGAGGAAGACAGGGAGAGAGGTTTTAGAGAAAAGGGAAGAGAAAGGAGAAAGGTCAATGCGAGAAACATTGATCGGTAGCCTTCCTTGCCTCCATGGAGGAACCCAAATGCATAACCTAGGCATGTGTCCGGAAGGGGGATCCGAGCTGCGACCCTTAGTTTTGGGGGATACTGCCCAACCAAGTAAGCCACAGTGGCCAGGGCATTTCTGTAACCATTCATTAAGCGTCCAACCTCTGGGACTTTTGAAGGAATAAAAAGAGAATTGATTGTGCAAGATGGAAAGGGTTCTGGAGATTGACTGCACAGCAGTATGAATGTACTTAAGATTACCAAACTGACACTTAAAAATGATAAAATTAATAAATTTATATTATATGTATTTTGCCACAATTAAAAAATCTTATTTCATCAAATTAAACTTTTACTTTCTGAATCTTGCAGCTTTGTCAGAGGCTTCCAAGTCATTTAATCAGTCGATTTTTTATTTTTAGTTAAACTGGTTTTTAATCACTGATACCAATTTTACTCTTCTTTAAATGTGTTTTGTGCCTAGGTCTGCTTCTAACAGACATAAATCCCTGTTCTCTTTAGTGTCCTAGAAATTAAATTGATTACATATTAGCTGTGGCTGATTCCCAACAAATGTAGCCCAGTATTATGTACCTAATGCCCTCAATGCACACTTACTGAATTAAATAAATAGCTGTGAAGTTTGGCTTACCACGTTAGTTAACCACCTATTGGAGGAAGCTAGTAACATACCTTAGGGAACTGGCTAACCCAACCATTGGTCTTGTGGCAGATCTAGCTGCCTCACTTTCCTTACTTACAAATGAGGAAGCTGAACAGAATTGTAAAGCCTCTATAATTCTGAGATGGTAACTTCTGAGATATTTGCTTCAGGAGAATCCTTATATTCTCCAGCCCCTTTGCCCTGTATGATTTTTCTTCATTAGAACTTTGTCTCCGCCTCTAGAAAGCAAGATCCAGAAGGATAGGCACTTTGTCTCATTGTGATGTCCCCAAGGGTGAAAATGGGTCCCTGGGAACGGTCAGAACTGCCACATACACACACTCTTTAATATGTCTCAGTAACAGGAAACTTCTTTCTTTAAAAAGTCCATATCTATTTTAATGTAGAATATTTTGAAAAGTGGCAGGAATCAACTTCAATAGAATTATTGAATAAGTTCTTAATTATCAGTAGGAACAAGTATTCAACTAAGTCACTGGTACAGAAATATCTGAAATCCTTCATTATTACTATCATTTTTGTGTGTGTGTGGCTCTATCATAAAAGAAAAACAACTCAAAAAATAACAAGGCATTATATTATGGTCTGTTCCAATGTCAAACTCTTGAAGTACATGATATTTGGAAATGAATCCAGCACCTTAGGATCTTAATACTGTATCAACAGTCAGACCCAATGCTTTTTAGAGCAAAGCAGCAAATCTTTTATTTACACAGCTGTTTGGCTCCAGGGAACAGTAAGGTAAGAAAGTAAAGCACTACTACTATTTCACTAATATATTACAAACATACTGTCATCTGTTACACACAGATGGCTGCGGTTCACATGCACACTTTGTTAGCTCTTGAACCAACTATATAGGAAAGCACAGGCACTAATGAGACCGTGACCTGCACAAGTTCAAAAGGATAGAAAAAGTACCTCTACTTCTAAATATACTGATTAGAATAATTCTAAAATCTCTACTACAGGCCTACTCTTTCACAGATGCAGAAAAACAAAGCAAGCTCTTCTTCAGGATGCTTAAAACATAGATGTTCTAGAATATTTCTCTTATTTCCTTAAATTAAGCCAACCATCCCAAATATCAATACCACAGATTAGATTAGATGTAAACAATTCCCCAATTGCAAATAACTTTCCTAAAGTTTTAATGAACCTAATTATTGTTTCAAAAACCATAAACAGCTTGTAAGAATGATAAACACGCAATTTTATAAGAATGGATGGAAATAAAACCCAATTCTCTTCCATATTTCCACTTAGACATGAGAAAGAATTAAAATAAATCTTAACAGATGGCGAACAAAAAAGTAGTTAATGCTTCTCAGCAAGCAATGCTAAAAACCAACTAACTCAGCTAAACACAGGAAGTATCCCTCTTTTAAAACACCACAAAAATGCCTGTGGATTTCTTTAATTGTAAAGTTGATAAAATACAAAAATTGCTTGCATTATCCTAGGGTAATGCGAATCAAAATCACTATTTTACTATAAAATTCCTAAACAAAATCATAAACTTTCTGACTGAGCCCTAGGTCAGGTTTCAAATTTCAATGTCAAATTAAATGCTTCTGTAACTGTTCATTATAAACTGTTAGGACTGGGATTGAAAACTGATGCATATAAGGTATAAGTATTTTAAATGTGTTTGACACTCCAAAGAAGAAAGAGCTAAAATTGACTGGAAGGATTTAAATCCAACCACTTTAAATTTAAGTTATTTAGACTAGCTCAGTAATAAAGAAAACTTGAATAAAGGTGAGGCACAGAAATTTAAGATGAAAATAATTCACCTCAAGTAGAAAGCCTCCCTTTGGTTAAGAAAAAGAGCTTATAAATAACATACAATGACATCTACACAGACATGTAACATCAGAAAGGAAAGGTCCACAATTTCTTCAAGAATGCTACTACACAAATACTTCACTCTTTGCTTTCTTATGACTATTAGCTAACTTTTTGCTTAGTTACCTGTAATCTGATTACACCTAGCAATGCAAACTTCAATACATTCAGGCTTTAGAAATAAGACAACTTATTTCTAAAGACATTTACGGTGCTACTGACAGTTTCAAATTGCAGGAATTTAAAACAAATGCCAAGAAAAGCAAAGAAAATTTAATCTGATACTTAAGTGGTGATTCCAGAAGTAACTTTGAGGCAAAACTTTACACTATTTTACTATAAAATTCCTAATGAAAGTTTATTTGTTTCGTGGGTGAAACTAAATTTTAAAAACTTACTACTTAATACATTACATCGTGGTTTAAAAATTAACCTGTGTTCTTATAAATTTAAAACCACTTCAGCAATTATTTTGGAATATAAGAACTGTTCCTTAAGAATGTTGAGAAAACACAATGTACAGAATTGCTCAAAATCCACACAAAGATAAACACTTTGTCATTTGTATGAAAGGAAAGTACTATAGGTGGCAGAGGGGAAAATAAGGCTTTGTTTACACTAACCAGGTAGAAACAGGAAAAAAATCCATTAAAAATTGGGTGGAGATAAGCAAAAAATTGCCATCGGCAATCCTAACCCTCTGCTTCTCTGGTAAAAGGAAAAAACACCAGGATAGGAGTAACTATATTGAAACCTCTTAATCTAATAAATAATAAGGGCCAGGGTTTTAAACCTAGTCGACACTAGGTTAAAGCAATTCAGCAGCCGCCGAATTCAACACTCTGGAACACTGCCCCTTCTTAGAATAACTGATTTCTTAACATGGTCATCTAAACTATTTTCGCACGCAAAGGCAAAGTCGCTCAAATGTTAGGAGACAAGCAAACGTACTCTTTACATTTAGCGTTTCACCTGGCGCAGAGCCCCCGACACGGGTTTCCTTTTAAAGGCAGGTCCCAAGAGATACACGATTTCCAAACAGCCTCTCTTGGCAGGAAGGGACAAAACAAGGCGGCCGCAAATGCCGTCTGCTCCGCACTTGCCAATCCTCGGGAAAAGGAGAAGGAACACTGCTAGCCCAAGGAGAAAGTTGCTCCAGAACCCAAGACTAACAGCGCTCGCTACAAACTTTCCAGCGGCAGCGCAAGCGCCGTCACTTACCCGCGGCAGAAGTCATGATTCCCTCAGGCAACTCGCTTCCCTGCTCGCCCCCTTCAATCCATGCTCCCCTTACGGTCCATTGTTTCAAAAGGTTTAGGCAGAAAAGCAAAGCTCCAGCTATGCCCACATTTTGTCCTACAGCTCCACCGCGCAACCCAGGCGCCGCACAAAGGATGCACCCGGCTCCAGGGACCCTGCGGAGATCCCGGGCGCGAGCCACAGGCGGCGGGCACGAGCAATGCTCACCGCGCCTCCGCCGGCGCGAGCCCTACACGAGCGCCTTAAAAATCAGTGCTCCAGGCGCCCCCTACCAGTTACAGCTGTAAACGGCGGACAAAAGGTCCAGCCTCTGCCAATCAGAGGGCTCGAATTTCATCTCATTCCCGCCTCTCCGTTTTACAGGATCATCCTCTGCTCCAATAAGCGTGTCTGAAAAGGGGCGTGGATTGCGAGGCATGCTGGGAGTTGTAGTTTTCTGGACACTAGGGAATCGGCTTAGTGGAAGCCTGGGTGCCTCCAGTTCCCCCGCCCTCATTTCCCATCGTGCTGAGGCGGGTGGCATGGCGGAGAAGGATGACACCAGAGTTTGACGAAGAGGTGGTTTTTGAGGTAAGAGGAAAATGGCGGTGGATGTGGATTGCCTTTGTTTGAGAAGGATGAGGGGGAAGACGAGGAGGCAAGCGGGGGACTGATCCTGGGGTGATCGGGTGACGCTCTTGCCGCCCTCAGTCACCGAATCTCGGCGATTTCTGGGCCTAGTGTTGGCTGCAGCCTGACAGGTGTAGCACGAGACGCCCTCCCCGCATCCAGCTTCAGCCTCCGCCTCAGCCTCCACCTCAGGCCGGCCCACCCAGGCGGGCGGGTGGACGCGAGCCCTGCCTGTTCCTTCCCCGAAACTGATAACCCCTCTGGGGGACTGCCCCTGGCTGGGGCGGGGCACAAGTGTGCGTTTTGGATACTCACCAATGCAAATTAGCCTCCTCCTTTTCCATCCTTGATTTTTTGGGTCTTTATCCATGAGTGCTTTATGTCTCTGATCCTGGTCGAGGTGTCGCCCTCAAAATGAAGACAGCAGGTGCCAGCTTTCTAACATGGTTTAAAATAAGTGTGTGGGACCCACTGTGAGTGATTAGGGCTGGGACATCTGAGCATCTAGGTTAAATTCTTTTGTCCTTTTCTGTTGCGCTTAGTGTAGCCAGTTCTGGCATAAGGCTCCGGGTGTGTGTGCTTTCGTGTGGGGCTATTTTAAGACGTTCTCTGCCATCTTGAACGAAAAAAAAAGGGGGGGGGCGAGTCTTTATTGCCATTTATTTATCAGACACAGGTGAAAACTCACCACCCCTACATAGATAAATTGTTTAAAAGTGTGTTTTACCTTTGCACATTCAACTACATTTTAAGATATTTTTTAAAAACATATGGCCCATTCTGTACAAAGGGAGAACTGGGCTTCAACAGTATAGAATGATAAATGTTGAAATATGTGCAAACTGTCATTGGAGGATTGATTTGGAAACCGCTACCTGTTCTTGTAGCCTCAGAGAGTTACCTACGCCCAGTAAATGCTGTCGGAGGTGAATCTTGAACTGTGGATCTGATTGGACAGATTAAAGGGAGAAAATGCAGTGCAGGGAAAGAAAGGAGAAGATGCCAAGGTTGGGAGGTGCGAAAGTACCTGATGTGGAATTTTCAGGGGTGTGTGTGAGTGTGGGAGGGTCGCTACATGAAATGGTTTGATGTGGCTAGAATGTAGAAGTAATGGAAGATAGGGCAAAATTACCAAAATGAAGAGTCTGGATCCAAAGTGCTCTCTAGGGAAGACAAGAGTCTGAATTTTGGAAATGAGAGAAGGAATAATGTAATGTTGTAATGGCTTGGACAGATACTTCTAAAGTCAAGTCGAAGAAACAGTTACAGATTGAATGTGAGAACTGAAGGAGAGATAAAAATCTAGGTTGCTTAGATTTCTAGAAAAAAACTGGGTGGATGTTATTTTTTTCCCTGTTTTCTTAGATTTCTGAATGTAATAATAATAAATGCTCAAGGTATATTTCATTGTAGGAAATAGGCCACAAAATTAAAATCATCCATTATCTTCTCATCCACAGACTGCCATTATTAACATTATAGTGTGTGTTCTTACAGACTTTTTTCCATGCAAGTGTATGTTTAAGTGTGTGATATTTTCTAACACAAAAGATATTATAGAATTCTGTATGTATTTTTAAATTAAAGTTATCATGAGTCTTTTCTTACTCATTACTCTTTGAAAACATTTATTGCATTAATATATTTATCATAATGTAACCATTTTCCCGTTATGGGATGATTATATTGTTTCAAAATACTCATTATAATCAATACTGACATAAGCCTGTCTTTAATTGTAACTATGAATTTTTCTTAGATTAATTTCTAGAAGGGAAACTAGTGAGTGAAAAGATGAACAATTTTTAAAGACTTAATGCAGAAATGTTGCATCAACATAAGTTTCCATTAGGAATAAGCATATTAGTTTCACCAAATCCTCAACAGCCTTCTTGTTTCCTTTAATCTTTGCTAATTTGCAAGGAAAAAATAGCATTCCATTGTTCTAATTTACATTTTGTGCATTTATTGGAGCCATTTTTAATTCTTTGCTTAGACATTTCCTTTTGTATTTAGAACCATTTTTCAGCTGGATACTAGCTTCTTAAAAATTGATTTGCATGAGTTTTTCAAATGTTATGTATAGAAAAAGTTTTCAGCTTGCTATTTGATTTATTTTCATATGAATGCATTAAATTTTATGGCAGCATAATATTCATAAGTCCACAAATCATAAATGCTGATGAATTTTCACATGTGAACACACCCATATAACAAGCACCCAGATCAAGAAACTGAACATCACCAGTATTTTAGAAGCTTTCTCTTGCTGTCAGTCATTTCTTCCCACCCCAAGGATAACCACTATTCAGACTTATAATAACTTAGATTAGTTTTCTCTATTTTTATAGTGTACACACTGTGAAATTGCATTTGTATATGCCCTTTCTTTGTCTGATTTTTTTTTCCCTCTGGTTTTGTTTGCTTGTTAGATTCATCTATATTGTTATGTGAGCACTTTTTATTTCTTTATAGTAATGTGAAAATATGTCCATTTTTTAAATCCGTTCTGTTGAGGTCTTTGGGTAGTTCCTAGTTTGAGACAATTGTGAGTAGTGTTGTTGTGAACCCTTTAGTGTATGTGTTTTGTTGAACATTTCTGTTGGATGTAGAAGGTCTGTCCAGAAGGTACCCAGCCCTGTAATATAAAAATTAGAGACATTAATTGAAGAAGACATAAGATACAAGAAACAATTGTACTAGGACAAATGACACCTCAATCCCCTTCAAGGTAGGCACCTTGGGACCTCACACAGTTCTCCCAATTGCCATCAGCTGCCCTGTCGTATTTTCCTGAATCTCATCAACAGTCTGAAATCTCTTCTCTTTCAAAAGTGATTTTAGTTCTGAGAAAAGCCAGAAGTTGCAGGGCACCAAATCTGAGCTGCAGGGAGGCCGAATCATCTGGGTGATTTGATGTTTCACAAAAAAAAGTCTGCATGATACCTGATGCATGAGTTGGCACATTGTCGTGATGAAACTACCAATCAACAGTTGCCCATAGCTGCGGCCTTCTGAATCATCCAAATAGTTTCTGTGGAAGAATGTTCAAGCTTAATGCAAAATTTGATGCAGATTCATTGCTCTATTTGCTCAGCCATTTTGAATGTGATGGCCACACTACATGTGCTCACTCAACTGGTATCTACTGCCCCCGCTGAGTAGTACAGTGGAGTTGTCATTGTTCACACGTGTGCATTTCAGTCCACTCTCCTTGGCTGCCAGGTTACATGGGTCTCATGCAAACTGTTCTTGTTATATTAACAATGGCTGGACTCTTCCAGACAGGCCTTGTATACGTAGAATTGCAATTGCTGAGTCATAGGAAATGCATAGTTCACCTTTTGTGGATACTCCCAAACGTTATTCTAACGTGATTGTACCAGTTCATACTCCTGCCAGCAGTGTTGAGAGGTCCATTTGCTCTACATTTTCACCAACACTTGCTAACATCAATCTTTCTTTCTATCATTGTGGTGGATGTGTATAAGGGGAGAGCATTTTCCCAGGGAATTGAGTCTTTTTCATTGTTTATGAACCCCTTCTAAATCCACTTTTGTGAAGCCACTTCACATGTTTGGGGTTTTGTGGGTTAGTTTGTTTGTTTTCATATTTCTCTGTTGAGTTATCTCTTTTTCTTACTGATTTGAAGAGTTCTTTATATGCTGGATGTAAGTCCTTTGTTGGATATTTGTATCTCAAGATACAGAAAGAGATGGGAAGCCGCCTAACTCATTTAGAAGGCAAGCAATAAAAATGTTCTTGGATTTGATGATCATTACTGTATTGTAGAGATGTCAGTTCTCCTCAAATTAATCTGTAGATTTAAAACAAGCTCAATCAGAATATCAGTAGGTTTTATTTATCTCTTTTTTAAAAATTTTTTATTTCATTTTTCTATTACCATTTGATTAAATACTTATACTTATACTCCCTTATACTCCCCTCCCTCCTGCAGTCTCCATACTGTTGTCCACGTGTCCTTTCTCCTTTTTACTCTATCTTTCCACCCCCTAACCTCCCCTCCTCTGTTTATTTATTTATTTATTTTTAAAGATTTTATTTATTTATTTTTAGAGAGGGAAGGGAGGGAGAAAGAGAGAGAGAAACATCAATGTGCGGTTGCTGGGGGCCATGGCCTGCAACCCAGGCATGTGCCCCGACCGGAAATCGAACCTGCGGTGCTTTGGTTCGCAGCCCACGCTCAATCCACTGAGCTACGCCAGCCAAGGCTGTTTATTTATTTTTAATAGTTTATTTTATGGTATTTTTTCCATTCCATCTATCCCCAATATACTCTCTTCCACCCCCACCCACCCCTTACCCCCCCATAATTACAACACTGTTGTCTGTGAATCCTTTTTCTTTTTTGCTGGATCCCTCCACCCCTCCCTCACCCACTCCCCCCAGAGCTGTCATCCTGCTCTCTATCTACAAGTCTGTCTCTATTTTACTTGTTAGTTCAGTTTGTTCATTAGATTCCACCACATATTAGTAAAATCATATGGTATTTGTCTTTCTCTGACTGGCTTTGAAATTGACAGCTGATTCTAAAATTATTCAGAACTACAACCTACCAAAAATAGCCAAAGCAATCTTGAAGGAAAATAAAGCTGGAGGGTTTTATGCTATCAGATACCAAGACCTATTATAAAGTTAGAGTAATTAAAATAGTTTGATATTGGCACAAGAATGGTCAAATTGACCATTGGAAAAGAGCTTCCAAAAACAGAGCCATGCATACATGACAAAGGCAACATTGTAGTTCATTGGGGAATGGATTGTCTGTTCAGTAGATGCCAGGTTAACTGGACATCCATGTGGGAAAAAATATTGACCTTTGTTTGATACCACACAAAAAGCAGTTCGAGATGAATGGGAGGTCTAAATGCAAAACATAAAATAAAAATTTTAGAGAAAGTATGTGTCCTTCCACTAGGCAAATTTTTTTAAGCACTAAC